CACCTATGTTTACAGGATTCCTTAGATATGAAGAACTTCGTGATGCTCTACAGACGCTCGTCCAAATAACACAACGCATCCACTTTCCACAGTTACTCAAGYGTATGTCATCTTCGTCATCGTCCATCAAACCTCGGTCGATATCTTGTCTTACCCCGTTCATTGACGCATCTGGAATCATACGCGTRGGTGGACGATTGCGCCATTCAACCGCACCGGAAGATTWCAAATATCCAGTGCTAATGCCAAAGTCAAGCGCTTTAACGTTACTATTGATCCGATATTATCACATAATTGGTATGCACGCTGGACCTCAGCTKGTGGCATCCTTGTTGTCTTCTCAATTCTGGATTGTGTCAGGTCGATCAGTTATTCGTCACGTTATCTTCAAATGTGTTACCTGCACACGACATCGAGCGTCRACTGTCAAAACGTTTATGGGCGATCTTCCATCCTCACGAGTGTGTCCATCGAGACCCTTCTCGAATGTCGGTGTAGACTACGCGGGRCCACTTTTGATCAAGGAAGGCAAACGTCGGAATGCCCGTTCTACAAAATGTTATGTGGCGATCTTCATTTGCATGGCTGTRAAAGCGGTGCACATCGAGGTGGTCTCTGACCTCACAACTTCGGCATTCCTTGCATCATTGCACCGTTTCATTGCTCGTCGAGGAATACCTTCAGAGATATACTCAGACTGTGGTACCAATTTCCAAGGTGCYGCATCTGAATTACGTCRGTTGTGGTCAGATCCTGAAGCACAAAACCTTGTCTCAAATGCTGTGCCGTGTAGGTGGCACTTCAACCCACCGGCTGCTCCCCACTTCGGGGGATTGTGGGAAGCAGCAGTTAAGTCCATGAAAATCCACCTGAAACGAGTAATTGGCACCCAACTGTTAACATTTGAGGAGATGTGCACCATAACTCAACGAATAGAAGCCATACTGAACTCACGACCAATTACACCCCTTTCGTCAGATCCGAATGATATACGAGCGTTAACACCAGGTCACTTCCTCATAGGTGCACCYCTCGYCACGCTGCCTGACCCCGACGTGACGCAGATTCCGATAAACCGTCTCAACCGATGGCAGCTGTTGGATCAATTTCACCAATCGTTATGGAAACGTTGGTCTTTAGAATACTTGCGATCATTGCAAGTCCGATCAAAATKGCAMCACCCGCAACCTAACGTCACRGTTGGTGATCTTGTACTAGTTCAGTCTCCAAATTTGCCACCCACATTCTGGAAAATGGGACGTGTCGAAGCAGTTCATCCCGGCGAAGATGGAGTTGTGAGGGTAGCAACTGTCCGCACCAGTGATGGCACYCTCAAGCGGCCCGTGGTCAAATTAGCTCGTCTTCCAATCAATTAATTAAAAAAAAAAAAAAGATAAAAATCCTTGTTTATTCCTTAGCAGCAAGGGTCTTTCCTATCCTGTAAACTGATACCTCGTGTAATTTTTGTATTTTGTATAATTTTGTATACTTTATTATGTATTATGTTTTTGTTCAAATATTCATCTTCGTTACGCCTCGCTCACATTTTGGAAGATCCTTAGTCTTCCAAGGGGGGAGTATGTTGAC